ATAGATATAGATATAGATATAGATATAGATATAGATATAGATATAGATATAGATATAGATAAAGCCATGCCCTGCCAGTCTTGATTGGGTTATAGAATAACAGAGTTGGAAGGGACCTTGGAGGTCTTCTAGTCCAACCCTCTGCTCAGGCAGAAAACCCTATACCATTTCAGACAAATAGTTGTCCAATGTCTTCTTTAAAACTTCCAGTGTTTCTTTCTTGCTGAAGGAAGCAACACACACATTTAAAAACAAATGAACATGAGTAGAGGTTCAGTTTCAGTACTGTGGCCAACGCCGCTGAGAATTTTTTCAAAAACATGGATTTTTCTCTATCCTGGCTAATTTGGTTATCCGGGCATCCTGTCTCCTCCAGTGGTTGGGCGAGTAGAAATGTGACTTGAGAAGAAAAATTGAACACATTCTGTATGTTCAAAAGCCAAAACATATTTCCAAGGCTCATTATTCCCACTGGGGTTTTTTGGGGATATTGATAGAATAGAATAGAATTCTTTATTGGCCAAGCATGATTGGACACGCAAGGAATTTATCTTTGGTACATATGTTCTCAGTGTACGTAAAAGGAAAAGATATATTTGTCAAGAATCACAAGGTACAACACTTAATGATAGTCATAGGGTACACATAAGCAATCAGGAAACAATATCAATATAAATCGTAAGGATACAAGCAACAAAATTACAGTCATACAGTCACAAGTGGAAAGAGATAGGTGGTGGGAACGATGAGAAGATTAATAGTAGTGCAGACTTAGTGAATAGTTTGACAGTGTTGAGGGAATTACTTGTTTAGCAGAGTGATGGCAGCATTCGGGAAAAAACTGTCCTTGTGTCTAGTTGTTCTGGTGTGCAGTGCTCTATAGTGTCGTTTTGAGGGTAGGAGTTGAAACAATTTATGTCCAGGATGCGAGGGGTCTGTAAATATTTTCACAGCCCTGTTTTTGACTCATGCAGTATACAGGTCCTCAATGGAAGGCAGGTTGGTAGTAATTTGGCAGGTTGATATGGATAGAAGAGAGTATTTGTAGTTCAGGGTTGAACTTTGGGGGTCATTTAGCACTGATGGTGTTACCTAGTTTGGCAATGAAACGTCTGCAAGAAAACCACCAAGCTCAGAGAGCAACAAGGACCGCACAGAATATGGATGTGGATATGAAGAGAGAGATTTTTTTTAAAAAAACTTCATTTGGAGTAATGGTTTTAGGCATCAGTCTGGACCAGAGGTGTCAAACTCGATTTCATTGAGGGCCGCATCAGGGTTGTGTTTGACCTCAGGGGTGTGGTCATGGGGCGTGGCCAGCTTCACGTCATTCGTATCAGGGGCACCTGTGGTGGCCCAAGCACTCTGCCAGTGAAAACAGACTCCCGAGCTCCATTTTCGGCTGTGACGGCCTCCTGCAAAACTTTGCCAGTGAAAATGGAGCCCGGGAGGGCTGCCCGTGGCCCTCACGAGCTCCATTTTCGCTGTCAGAGGCACTGCGGGCCGGTCCATCGCTGTTTCCAGCGGTGGCGGCCCAGATCTAAACACCCACAGGATGGATCTGGCCCCCAGGCCTTGAGTTTGACACCCCTGGTCTAGACTCTGAAAGACTCTGAGTTCTAGTCCTGCTTTAGGCACCAAGCCAGATAGGTGACTTTGAGCCAGGCCAACTGTCTCAGCCAGTGGTGGGTTTCAAAATTTTTTACTACTGGTTTTGTGGGTGTGGCTTGGTGGGCGTGGCATGGCTTGGTGGGCATGTCAGGGGAAGGTTACTGCAAAATCCCCATTCCCTCCCGATCAGCTGGGACTCGGGAGGCAGAGAATAGATGGGGGCAGGGCCAGTGGTGGGTTTCAAACTTTTTTACTACTGGCTCTCTGGGCGTGGCTTGATGGGCATGGCTTGGTGGGCGTGGCTTGGTGGGCATGGCTTGGTGGGTGTGGCTTGGTGGGCATGGCAGGGGAAGGTTACTGCAAAATCCCTATTCCCTCCCGATCAGCTGGGACTTGGGAGGTAGAGAATAGATGGGGGTGGGGCCAGTCAGAAATTTTACTGCCGGTTCTCCGAACTACTCAAAATTTCCGCTACCAGTTCCCCAGAACTGGTCAGAACCTGCTGAAACCCACCTTTGGGCAGGGCCAGTCAGAGGTGGTATTTACCGGTTCTTCAAACTACTCAAAATTTCCGCTCCCGGTTCTCCAGAACTGGTCAAAACCTGCTGAAACCCACCTCTGGCCTCAGCCCTAGGAAGCAAGCAATGGCAAACCGCTTCTGAATTATTTTGCCAAGCAAATCACAGGGACTCTCCAAGCAGTTGCCGGGAGTCAACACTGACTCATAGGTGCAAAAAAATGTAGATTCAGCGTGGCTTACCGTAAATGCAATATCCAATATTTTCACCCAAAGGATGGAGCGGTAGGAACCTCTAACCCGCCTATCTCCATCAGTCAGGCAGTCACGCGCATCCAGGCTCCAGGAGGAGACCATTTCCTTAGAAAGGCCTTGCTGACTCATCTAGCATGCACTCAACCCTAACTTTGCCCTTGATAGATGATTCTCTCCGGCCCGCCCGTTAACTTTGATGCTGGCTTGTTCAAACAAGCCTGCCTGCATTCAGGAAGCATTTCCTTCATCAAAACCTTAGCAAGATGCGACTTGTTGGGCCTTGGCTGGTGATCCTGAGAAGCAGGAAAGAAAATTCAGCTTCCTAGCTTTAAAAGAAAAAAAAAAAAAGTTGCCGGCCATCATCTTGATGGCGGTCAACATTTGGGCATTTCTGCTTTGATGCTCCCCAGATAGGTTTCCTGTCAGCTCCGAGCTAAATCTCAGCACACAGGATTTACAAGCTAAAAAAACATAACAACAACAACAGGGCAAGATGGAACCGAAAGATGAAGAGGGAAAAAGAAGCCAATTATTGTATTACACATAGTCCTCGACTTACATCCGTTCATTTAGTGACGGTTGGAAGTTACCAAAGCGCTGGAAAAAATGACATGGCTGTTTTTCACACATTGCAGCCTCCGTCCCCCTCCGTCATGTGATCAAAACTCAGAAGTTTTGGGACTGGCTTGTATTTATGATGGCCGCAGCGTTCTGGGGTCATGTGATCCCTTTTTGCGAACTTCTGACAAGCAAAGTCAACGGGGAAGCCAGATTCACTTAACAATCCATGTTACCAACTTACTAATTGCGGAATTCACTTAACAACTGTTAGCAAGGAAGATCGTAAAATGGGACAAAAATCGTTTACCAACCGTCTTGCTTAAGCATGGAGATGTTGGTCCCAGTTATGGTCGTAACCTTCCCAGCCAGCTTCCGATAAGCAAAGTCAATGGGGTGGGGGTGAGGGAGCCAGATTCACTTAACAACTACATGATTCACTTAACAAATGCAGTGGTTTGCTTAACAGCCGTGGCAGAAAAAGTCATAAAACGGGACAAAATTCTTGCTTAACAACGGAACTTAATTGTGGTCATAAGTTGAGGACGACCTGTATTATGTTCGATCTTATATTTCAGCGTTGTGTTTCCTGCCTCAGAAGGATAGGAAACGGGTCAATTCAGAGAATGATTGATGAGTTACAGGCACTCCCAAAGGCCTTAGTCTGTCCATCCTCAAATCAATCAATCAGAATAAAGCTGGAAGGGACCTTGGAGGTCTTCTAGTCCAGCCCCCTGTTCAAGCAGGAGACCCTACCTATACCATTTCAGACAAATGGTTGTTCAATCTCTTCTTAAAAACCTCCAGTATTGGAGCTCCCACAACTTCTGGTGGCAAGCTGTTCCACTGGTTAATTGTCCCCACTGTTAAGAAGTTTCTCCTTAATTCCAGGTTGCTTCTCTCCTTGATTCGTTTGATTAGATTCTGTCAGAGCGTTTGCAGCATGACTACTATTAGGAGACAATCCAGGAGCAAAACACAGCACACAGAGCCTTAGATATTTAATAATGCTTTATATACAAGACATATAGAGAAATATATGCAAATACCTGACAAGCAGGGGTGGGTTCTACTTACCTTTACTACCGGTTTGCAACGGGATCACTTCTGCACATGCGCAGATCGCCTATGATGACATCTGGGGCGGTGGGCGGAGCCTCCTGCTGGTTTTACTACTGGTTCTTGTGAACCGGTCTGAACCGGGGGCAACCCACCACTGCTGACAAGCAATCAATCTTCTTCTTAACTCTACACAGAGAACTCAGCAATGAATACCAGACACAACTAGAGGGAATATGCCCTCTCCTGGCTGCCTTAAATAAACACCACTTAAAGTGGTAAATCTTTTGTGGACCCCTTCGTAGTCTACAACCGGCAATACCAATGCTGATTCATCTTCATTGCATCAGCTTTACAGGTGTTCAGCTCTTAAATCTCAATACCTTAACAGATTCTCTCCTGATCTAAGTCACTTCCTCACATTTTAACCTCTGTTAACTTTCTTTTTCTTTTTTTCCCCCCCAGTGTCCGTTACAAGCCTGGTGATACTCCACCCCATTCCCTGTGCCTTTAGCAACTGGAAATTATTTTTCCACAACATCCTGCCTGGCCACGATGAGATCTTGCGGCGGCTGCAGCAAAAGCCCAAGTAGCTTGCTTAGCTTGATCCCAAAGAGATCCTGCTCAGCCTGGAAAGCAGATTAGAAGTTTCCAAAGACAGCCGCTCTGTGTGTCTTTCCTCAAGGGATCCGGAACGGTGTCTGCCAGAGCCGAAGCATTTCCCGTAATGTTTTCCAAGACTTATTGCTTCCAGGATGCCAAAATATTTTCCTTCTGGAGGATATTTCGTTTCTTTACCAACACACCAGAACAAAACGGATCCTGAACGAGAAGCTTGGAAGAGAACCGAAAGCTGGAGATCAATCGTATTTATATAAAGTGACATGCTTCTACTGGAGAGGACCAGAGAGAGGACTTGGGGCTGATACACATCAGGTTGCGAAGGAGGAACCATCCGTGCTGTTGAACTGAACCAACTGAATTGTATATATGAGGAGCTCGGTATTCCGGCTCTCCCTTCCCCCGTCCCCATACCTATCCGCAGAGATTTATATTAAAGAAAAGTTAATGTTGTCTATCAAATGGATGTATTAAGAAATTAAGTGCAATGCCTCCCTTCCATCTGTACATAGGATCACAACCTCCGCTACCATGTCTCCCTTCCCTTTTTTTTGTAAGGACAGGATTTACGTTGCAACGTTTTGGATTGGCAGATCAAACGAATGAAAGGAAACGAAATCTTTTGGCAAAGACAAACATTGATTTATCGGCGTGTCATAAATTCAGCCCATCGGCCTTTTTTTGAAGTTTTGGGCTGGCTGATTTCAAAAAAAGGGGACCGGAAGCAGAATTTGGATGTTTGGAAAGAAAGCATTAAATGGCTGCACGCTGAATAGAATTTTAATCCATTTTGGGGGCGTGCGTACCGTAAGCTAGGCGAGTTGATACAGCTGGTCGTCAACTTATGACCACATTTGGAACCAGAGTTTCTGTTGCCAAGCAAGCCAGTTGTTAAGTGAATCATGGCTGATTTTACAACCTATTTTGCCACAGTTGTTACCGTGTTTCCCTGAAAATAAGACCCTGTCTTATATTTTTTTGAACCCTGAAATAAGCGCTTGCCCTTATTTTCAGGGAGGTCTTATTATTTTGGGGCACATGGAGCAAGACGGGGCTCCTCTTGCCATCTTACCTGATTTCCAGCTCTGTCTCCCTAACCCTAACCAGAGGAAATGGCAGGGACCGGCTGTGCATGCGTTTAAATATTTTCAGGGAGGGCTTATTTTCGGGGAAACAGTACATAAATCACTGTGGTTGTAAGTGAATTGTGTGTTAAGCAAATCAGGTTTTCCCCATTGGCTTTGTTTGTCCCAAGCTGGCTGGGAAGGTCGCAAACTAACCCCAGCTTAACATGCTTAACATCCTCGACTTACGACCACAATTCAACCCAAAATTTATTTTGCTAAGCGAGACATTTGTTAAGTGAGTTTTGCCCCATTTTACGACCTTTCTTGCCACAGTTGTTAAGTGAATCTGGCTTCCCCATTAACTTTGCTTGTCAGAAGTTTGCCAAAAATGATGACATGCCTTTCGGGATGCTGCAACCAACATAAATATGAACCAGTGGCCAAAAGTCCAAATTTTGATCGTGTGACCCATGGGAATGCTACAATGGTCATAGATGTGAAAAACGGTCATAAGTCACTTTTTTCAGTGCCGTTGTAACTCCGAACAGTCACTAAACAAACAGTTGTAAGACTACCTGTATTTGCCTTAATGTATCTACCATGTCTTTATTGAAATGTATTGTCTAAACACAAGTAATGAATTGGTTCACACTTTGCACTAAACCATGGTTTGGTTATCCATTGTTTATTGCATAATCTGTTGATTGTGGCTTTATACAACCTACTAACAACACCACAAGCCGTGTTTTCAAATTTTACACAATAAGCTAAGACCCAAGCCAACATATTATGGCTTAGTCTGTTGTATTAACCAGCTCCTAAAAGATACCAGTTCCTATTCAGCAATCACTGCTGATGTTTTTTAATAATGCATGTGAAAAAGATTCTCATATGATTCTTCATGTGATGGGATAGAAAACTCAGCTTTGAGTAGTCTTACATAAAGACAATCCGGTTTTACAAAACAAAACAAAACAACTCAGAGCCAAATCCTGACTGACAGATTTGGATCCCTGTTGCTGAAAACTCCAAGATAATTTGGCCTGATCCTTGACCTTCAAATCTGCTCACACAAGGCATTTTACATGTGTTCAGTCATCCTTCCGTCTTTTCACTGATGCAAGGAATAGGTTGGATCACAGTGTCTCAACCTCGGCAACTTTAAGATAAATGGATGTCAACTCCCAGAATTCTGGGAGTTGAAGTCCTCCCAGGTTGAGAAACATTGTGTTAGATGGTATTTTGTTGTTGTTAGCTGCGAAGTCATGTCCGACCCATCGTGACCCCATGGACAACCTTCCTCCAGGCCTTCCTGTCCTCTACCATCCTCTGGAGACCATTTAAGCTCACGCCGACTGCTTCAGTGACTCCATCCAGCCACCTCGTTCTCTGTCATCCCCTTCTTCTTTTGCCCTCCATCTTTCCCAGCATTAGGTTCTTCTCCAGTGAGTCCTTCCTTCCTTCTCATTAGGTGGCCAAAGTATTTGAGTTTCCTCTTCAGGATCTGGCCTTCTAAAGAGCAGCCAGGGTTGATCTCCTCTAGGACTGACCGGTTGGATCGCCTTGCAGTCCAAGGGACTCGCAGGAGTCTTCTCCAGCACCAGAGTTCAAAGGCCTCAATTCTTTGGGGCTCAGCCTTCCTTATGGTCCAACTTTCACAGCCATCCATTGCAACTGGGAAAACCATAGCCTTGACTATACGCACTTTTGTTGGCAGGGCGATGTCTCTGCTTTTTAATATGCTAGATGGTATTTTAGGGCACCTATTTCCAGCTTAGTTACTGTATCCTTCTTCCACCTATGGAGAGAAATATAAAACTCAATGCCACCAGCGCTGCAGTAACCAGATATATTTTGACAGACCCACAGATTTAGCTATCGGTCAGAAGTGGCACTCTGCTCATCCACCACCTCTCCCAACTTAAAAGTCAGCTGTCTGGGTTTGGCAAGGAGACCTTCTACCCACCAGGTCTCCAAGCCAATTCCTGGAGACCCAAATCATCCCAAACAACTGATAGAGCAAACCAGGAAGGAGAGAGATAATTGATTTATGAAGAATATATGAAGAACGGTTGCAGGAGTTGGGTATGTCCAGTCTAGTGAAAAGAAGGATAGTGTTCCAATATTTAAAGGGCTGCCACAAAGAAGAGGGGAGCGTCAAGCTATTCTCCAAATCAGGGGTCACTAACCTTTTGGACCACTAAATTCATAATTTTAAATTCTGTGGACCGCTAATATGATCTGCTTAATGACCAGTTGGGTGGGTGTTGCTAGGTGGTCATGTGACTGGGTGGGCATGGCCAACTCGATGTCACTCACGTGGAAGGGCGCCACCCCAGCCTCTACTTGCCCCTCCCCTCCTTGCCTCCCCAGGCTTCTTAGGGCCCCAACAGGAAGCAGTGGTTGGAGCTAAGCAGCCACTACGAAAAAGAGTTGGCAAAACAGCTGGCTCAATTGAAATTGGATCTGACCAAGAAGGAGGTTCAGCAGAAGCACCTCACTGAGGACTAGGAGCATAGGCTTTCCAAGCAGAGGGAAGACCTGCAGGAGTACAAGGCCAGGTACTGGCACCTGGAGGCTCAGCGGGCTGAGATGGTCAGCCAGTTCCAGGCCATGATGCAGTCCCACTGGAACAAGGCCCTCTTCGCCACTAGTGGCACTTCCTTCTAGCCTTTGCCCAAAACCAGGAGGCTGAAGCAGACCCCAAGTCGGAATTTCTGGCCCCCTCTGACCCACACAAAAAGACCCCAAAGGGGGAGACTCTCTTCAGCAACACAACCATTCATTGCATGTATCTGGCCCAGGGACTGCAGTTTGAGGACCCCTGATTTAGTGCAATATAAAAAATGCAAATAATTTTTCTGCGGACCGCCAAAATTTTCTTGCGGACCATCAGTGGTCCACGGACCACCAGTTGGTGACTGCTGCTCCAAAGCACCTGAGGGCAGGATAAGAAGCAATGGGTGGAAGCTAATGAAGGAGAGAAGCAACCTAGAACTAAGGAGAAATTTCCTGACAATGAGAACAATTACCATATTTTTCGGTGTATAAGACGCACCGGAGTATAAGACGCACCTTAATTTTGGGGGAGGAAAACAAGAAAACAAGAATTCTACCTCTGCCCACCAGCGTTTTGGAATGGTCTGGGGGGGGGGAATCTGCCTGGCAGCTTCAGGGAACAAGGCGGGTGCCACGATTTGCGGCTGGTCACCCCTCTGGCTGCCCCTCTGGTTGCGAATGTGCAACGGGAAGAAAAGCACTTTCAGGCGGCAGCGCTGCAATCCCCTCCCCGTATCCAAAATGGTTCCCAGTTCCCTGTCGCACATTGCAGGGGAACTGGCCGCCCGATGCCTGAAACGCGGCTCTGATTATTGCATTGGGGAATGCGGGCAGCGGTGGCTGGAAAGGAGGGGTGTTTTTTTTTAGGAGCTCTTGTTCGGCTCGCTCGGCTCCTGGGCGCAGAGGGTTTGGCAGCTCCTTACATTGCAGGGGAATGAAGTCATTGTGGCCATTGCCTGCCCTAAGCTGCCTGCTGGGCAGCCAGAGGGGTGACCAGCTGCAAATCGTGGCACCCGTCTTGTTCCCCGAAGCTGCCAGGCAGATTCCCCCCCCCCAGACCGTCCCTAAGAAGGTTGTTCCTCAGGCTGTGCCCCGACCCAGATCCCTGCCACCTGGAACTGCCTGAAAATAGCCAAAGGGTGGGGGCTGGCAAGCGGGCGGGGCTACATTTGGCGTATAAAACGCATCCAGATTTTCACCCCCTTTTGGGGGATAAAAATGGGGCGTCTTATATACCGAAAAATACGGTAACCAGTGGAAAGACTTGTAGGTTCTCCATCCCTGGAGGCTTTTTAAGAAGAGATTGGACAGCCACTTGTCTGGAATGGTATATAGAGCCTCCTGCTTGAGCAGGGAGTTGGACTAGAAGATCTCCAAGGTCCCTTCCAATTCTGTCATTCTATTAAGTTCTTTAAAGTTGGCTGTTGTCCATTTCAAAGCAAAGCTCCCCAGAATACTTGTCAGCGATTCTTTGAACACGGGTTGAATGCTCTTTCAAAAGAGGACTAAAACTCGATTCAGAAACAGCTTGAACAAACCATTGATCGACGCAGAGGGATTGTCTCATGAACAGGGAAAGCTATCTGTCTCCTGCTTTGGTGTGCAACACTCCATCCCAACCAGTGGTGAAATCCAAATTTTTTTACTACTGGTTCTTGGGTGTGGCTTGGTGGCGTGGCAGAGGAAGGATACTGCAAAATCCCCATTCCCACCCTACTCCAGGGGAAGGATATTGCAAAATCCTCATTCCCCTCCCCACTCCTGGGGGAAGGCTATTGCAAAATCTCCATTCCCTCCCCACTCTGGGGCCAGCCAGAGATGGCATTTGCCAGTTCTCCAGACTACTCAAAATTTCCGCTACTGGTTCTCCAGAACCTGTCAGAACCTGCTGGATTTCACCCGTCATCCCAACCAATCCATGGTTAATTTGAACTGATGCTGGTCACCAAGTTAGGAATTCAGGCATGTACAAGGCCCATTTCAGTTTGAAAGACAAGAGTTTTCCATGGCCTGAAGGAGGATGGCCCTACTACAGCATGGGTGTCCAACCTTGGCAACTTAAAGACTTGTGGACTTCAACTCCCAGAATTCCCCAGGAACACCCCTGCCCTAAAGGATAGAGCCAGAAGGCACAGTGTTTTCACATCAACTTAATGTAGCCAATACATGTAATAACTGTTAGACATATATTGATGGTCGTGCTCATTTGGTCAATACAGCTTCAGGTTCAAAAAGTTGTTTTATTATTTACAAATATACACATGCATACAATAATGAACAGGGTGTCCTGTTGCATTTTTTTACGCTAACTGTATGACTCAGATGTTGAGAGGAGAGAGAAGTTCACGTGTTGTCTTGCTGAGAGATAGATGAGAGAGAGAGAAAAAAAAAGGGAAGCTATCCAAGTGATTTCTAGGTAAGAGTCCAATAAGAGAGTTCATTGGCTGATATAGTCACATGTGATGTCTGTAAAGACTTAACCCCTTCTAGTCTCCGGTGCATCATATGCAGGCAATATCTGACAATAACAATAAATTGTATCAGATTGTACCCATAACAACATTGCCACAGCTTGTCGGTGGTCAATCATTCAAGGTAGATCATATTAAGAAACCAAATATTCCTGCTAATATTCCTTTTATTATATCAATAGGACTTAGATTTACATAACACCCCATTATCAGGTTATCAATCACTGGAAGCTTTCAAAAAGAGATTGGACAACCATTTGTCTGGAATGGTATAAGGCAGTGATGCCCGAACCCAGGGGTGAAATGTAAAATTTGTTACTACCGGTTCTGTGGGCGTGGCTTGGTGGGGGGAGGGTAATGTGACTGGGTGGGCGTGGCCAACTTTTAAAAAAAAAACTTTTCAAAGCATTTTTTCTAATGCTTTGAAAAGCCTCTGCCAATCAGGAAACTCAGCTGGGATCGTCAGGGACTTTTCAAAGCATTTTTTTACCACCTCTTCGGCCAAGAGGTTGCAGAAAAAAATGCTTTGAAAAGCCTCTGATGATCCCAGATGAGCCGCGCAATCATCAGAGGATTTTTTTTTTAACTTTTAAAAGCATTTTTTCATCGGAAGAGGTTGCAGAAAAAATCTTTGAAAAGTAAAAAAA